TCTCTCTCTCTCTCGCTCTCTCTCTCTCTCTCTCCTGCGCATTCAGTGCGCTCCAGCTCGGGTGGGAGGGGACACAGAATCAGCAACTACATACACGCCTCTAATGTATCTAAGCCATATATTTAATTATATACGCGCAACATTTAGGCTATACTTCCAGCTCTCGCTTGTGGTGACATGAGATAAATACCAGAAAGAGAGATTCGCGCTCGTATTGTGTTACAGTCACATTGGTCGTGTTCTGCTTGAAAACTAGAGCAGAAAATCTCACTTCTCCTATTAAGCGATTACCGCTGGCAATCCACCCAGAAACCTTTTAGTCTTCTTTCTGCAGCTCAGTCATTGTGGTTTACTGCGGTCTTATGAACTCTCAGTAATGGCTCACATTTCACATTTCCATGTGAAGAGTGGGAACCGATTGAATCCCAGGATGCTTGCAGCACCTTGATGGTGTTGACTGGCACAGCACTTTATGTCTAGCCGAGCGCAATAACTCATTTTGTTCACCATGCATATCACAAACGCACTTTAGAGTGTAAGCGCAGCACATAGAAAGATTGCAGATTAGAGTTAACATAATATAATACAATATAGAGGTTGGGATTTGAAACAATTGCTCTGCAATGGCCTCATAGATTGCCAGTGTTTATCCTTAATTGGTTACGACAGGACATCCCATTCAAACATAGATGTAAATAAATAAATACAATTAAAACTTTAATTTGATTAAAAATGTTATACATCAGGTAAACATTGAACAGGTTTGTTAGTAAGAGATTTACAGTGCTTCTACACTCTTGTTAATCAGCTATCATTTCCCTCTGATTTTAGGAATAAATTATGGGTAGGGTTAGGTTTAGGGGTAGGGATTGGGTTTAGTCTATATTTTTGGACAGTAATGTTGATCCAGGATCAGCAAAAGATGTTGATCCAGGAACATGTCTTACTTGGAAAAATCACGGCGACCGTAACTACCTACATCTAAGCATCATGCTACAGCGACAGTCTAGTTGGCTCCATGCTTTGCCCAAGATCTCATTCTTTGGTTTTGCTTGCTCTTCATTTAAGGTCTTTATTTTGTTTAATTTATTTTTGAATTTGGGGTGAAATATGACCTGGGTGTTATTTTGTGAGTTAAATCCTATCAGTGGCAGCTCGTCAGCCACAGCCTACACGAGATTTTGAGGTGAAAAATAGAAGGACAATTCAGTATTAATTCATTTTATGTCTCAGAATCAGGGCCATATGAACCATTGGGCTAGGCAGGGCTGAAGCCCCGGGGCCCGAGCAAGGAGGGGGCCCGTGATTGGCTGTGGAGTAGATTGACTGGAGCGAGCCCCCCATTTATTAGCGCTATTATTTAGTTGAGCTTTTCCGTAAATTCCATGCATTACCATTTGAGATTGAAACGTAAAGTCTGAATTTGGTTTACCAATCAAATGCATTTATTCTATATTTGA